TTACTAGTGCGAGCATATAGTTCTCTATATAGACAGGCTTCTGGTTTTCCCTGATGAGATACAAGGGGAGAGTTGTGAATGAAGAGGGTGTTGGGAGTTAGATAAAATAGATTTAGTCCACTTTTTACATGAGTCCATGTGCCTGTCAACCAGAGTATTAACAAGCTGGTTAAGTGGCACGTAGCTTACCCTGCTGACAACCTTTAACATCCTGCGTAATAAGATATAGTCCTTCTTCAGTAGTCCTCGAAAAACTAAAGGGGAAAAATAGGCAGGAACAATAATAGGCAAGATGCAGGAGTTAACGAATCGTAAGAGTAAGGCTTGGGTTATTCCAGAATGTCTTGTCTTAGAAATCATCAAGATATGAGACGACCAGGAAAGATCAGCAGATAGAATGACGACAAGATATTTAATTTCCGACGTGGTGTCTCTTTCAGTGCCATCTATGTTGCACGCCTCGTGAGTGCTAACTAGGTTTGTTTAAGTCAGATTTATCCCTAAAGGTGAAATCGACTGTGAATGGTGATTAGCAGTAGGTAAGTGCAAATATATCAGGCTGACGAGTCCCAAACAAGAACAAATGAGCATTCTGGATTCTACTGCTAGTCACCATCCCCCAAGTAAAATCACTTGTATATACACTCTTGGAAGATCACTAAAAGTCCTTTAAAACAGTAAGTCTAGAGTTCATTCTAGTACCAGATCTACTATATAATAGTTAAAAATAAGACTGACTGATCAAACCTTCTTAGACAACTTGTTAATCACTCGATATAGACCAGTCCACAAGGATTGGTAAACATAAATTAAGTTATCCCGTCATCATAGATCACACCTAGATCATTAAGTCATTAAAAGAAGCAAAACACATCCAGAAGTTCTTAATACATCTCTAGACAGTTTTATGTCTCTATTTTTTCCAGACAACATACCATATACAATACCCTTTCACAAGACAAAACTAATGCAAAAAAAAAATATTTCCCAGCTCTATTTATCTTACGTGCAGCTGAAGCCCTATTTTCCTCTAGGAATTAAAGGAAACAATAATAATAATCTATTTATTATAATAAAGGTTTTTGTATTTCCCAATGAATGAGAAACAAAACGATATTGTTAATCTATTTGTATGTATTTCGTAGACGTGAAACAAGACAAGTAAATTATTCTCAATTAGTTTGTTTAATTCCACAACATTTTCGCGTAAATTTCGTTTATTTCTTAGGTTATTATAGTTTTTCTATTATATGAATAAGACTACAATGAGCTAGATATTTTCGCGCCGAAATTTTATGAGGAATAAACAGATTCTTAGTTGGTAATGAAAAAAACAACAAAAACTATGAGTCTCAATGACCTTTTAAAAATGTATTATCATACAATTGGTGGATGGTGGCTAGCAGTGGAATCCAGGATGCGCATTTCATCCTATTTGGGACTCGTCAGCTGGATGTACCTGCATTTCGCAGTGAGTGATGATGTTCCCACTGAGGCTCGAACCCAGTACCCATAGTTTCAAACGCCAAAGCGTTATCCACTAGACCACTTGGGCCACGAGAGCCACCTCTTGTGCGACGGGTCATATTAATTATTGAATTGAATTTTTGATTTTCCCGAAATGCGCTTTATCCTGGATTCCACTGCTAGCCACCATCCACCAATTGTATACTAACTAAATGCCCAGACATCGTCGAAGCATCTGCACAAGAAGCCGACATGTCAACCTGAGACCGAGCACTTCGGTCCAATCAATCGACGGGAAAATCAAAAATTCAATTCAATGTATTATCATGTTTGTCACATGTGAATTGACGTCTTTCCCTATTCAAGTGTTGGTCTTTCCATATGACAAATAACATTCTTAAGAATCGACTATAGAAAAATATACACAATAACAATCTGACATTAGTCATTACAAATATACGTGATGACTGCTTACATATTTCTATGGGTAAAAATATCCATGGTCAAATGACCTTCAAATAAACTGACTTCAATTTATGTAAAAAAACTTTTGACTATATTTATCGATGATTAATAAAAATCCTAATAAATCTGCTGAAGAAGCTGTGGCTTACACAGCGAAACGTTCAGAAAAATTTTGTATTGCTTTTCTTAAACACGCTGGGATTAATTTAAATAATTTATAAAGATTCTTAATTGTTTGGGAGTGAAATCATCAAACTCCTGTTCATGTAACATTTTATTTTTCTCGTCAGGTGTTTTTTAACTGATGGATTATATGAGTTGTATAGCGCCATCATTTAAAACCTCTGCTGCCTTAAACAGATTTAAATCATTTTTTCCAAGTGCTGGTTTTGTAGGGATTTTGTTTGATTGGTTGGAGGATTTCATCATGAGCTGATATCAGTTAGAGAGGCATTGGAAAACCTGGGCGTATTGGATAGCTGTTTCGTCCTAGTTTGAGACTCCTCACAGTACACATCCGCCACCAGGGCTCGAATCCAGGACCTCTCGGTTACAAGGCAAGGTCGTATACCATCCAGCCACTGGAACCTGATCCAATGGCCAGCCCATGAATTCTAACTTCTGCCACACTTACCCTAAGGGGTCGAAGCTACAGAGGCTAAAAGATGTGGAGTGGTTTACAAGCCCGGGACTTTTAAGAGTGTTTAAGTCACCGCGGTAAATTTAAACAAGATGTGCTTTGGTGCTTAATAAGTTGTGCACAGCTACATTAATGACAACCAGTGAAGTTTATTTTACAATATCTCATTCTGACTGATAAAATGTTCACATAGTATAAGCTAAAATCTCGTCCAGTTTTTGTATCTGTGTAATGAAATGCTTCAATGGTGAACTTCTAGTAATGTCATACTGATGTGGCTCATCTTATGCTTTAACATCATATTCGATATATACTCTGTACCTGTGCATTTTTTCTCTCGATCTAATGATTTGATGTTCACAGAATTTGACATTTACCAGTCAGTAATAAGTGTTCCTCGCATGTCCAAATGTGTCATGTTAGTATGAAGCATACGTCTGGGAAGTAATTAACATAAATGGCAAGTTTTAACCAACTTCATTCAACATTCAATATCATAATGCAAACAGCCCTAGAATAACCTTCAGGTCTTCATCTGTTGTAGATTATTTCAAAGTGAATCATATATATATAACCTTAAATATCATACAGAGAAAACTTAAACTCATTCACCTGCATGCATTATTACAACTTTACATTCATTACTTGATAAGACAAATTCTACCCCCCAAGAATCCATCAGAATTTGACATTTACTTGTAAATCTAATTATTCTACACGTAGGCATGAAAACACTTGGAATAAAAGTAATTTGTTTATGTAATGATGGCTAGTGTGATTGGTTGACTACTACCTTGATTACAGAAGCTATCAATTTTCAACTTGTGTATTCTAACAAATTGTTTTCACATTATTTGCTTTTGTATTTTAATTGGTTAAATATCAAGTGAAATCTATATGATTCCTCTTGATACTATTGTAGATCAACGTTTGCTATGACATACACTTTGTCTATATAAAATGCTTATTTCACGAAATCATATGCCTTCTTCTTTTGCTCATAACTGTTTTCAGTAAAACCATCGATTTTCTTTTATTTTTACTAAATCTTGTTTCCGTAATCATAGTCAAACTGGAAAGTATTTTTACTATCTAAAACCAAATGATTCACAACAGCTATAGTCATAGAAATGTTTAAAGGAAACTCAGTCTCTAGGCTAGAAATCTTGCACAAAATGTACTTTTAAAGTCTGGGATATTTGGGTTGGTTGCTGAAGTTATGATTGAGTATTGTTTGCCACAAAACACAAGCTAGTTGATACAATATTAATTACAAAATGAATCCGAGTTAGAGAGAGAGTGTATGTGCGATGTGAATGAACGGTTTTTACACGTTCTGTTTGCTTTTCGTTTATTACAGAAACTTTGTGACTAGATTACAGTACAGGTCTAATCAATGGCTCTCAGCAATATCTTGGATAATAAACAATCAGACGACCTTGGCGTCGCTGTCTTGAATTCACTGTTTGTCTAGAGCTCGGTGCATCATGAATCAACCCTCCTAGTTTTAGCTACACTAGTAGTCACTATTTTCCAAAAGTCATTGGAATACAGACAATTTTCAAATCACAATCAAACCAGACTTGTTCAAAGTGAAAATTTAAACAGAGAGAAAGAGAGAGAAAGAGGAACAGTGATTACTTTTCACATTGTGGCGGATGAATAACTTAAAAAGCTTTTTGGTCGTGTTACAGCAAGTTTTACTACCCTTCCACTAGCATAAATGAAAATGTCATACTTGAATGAAACCAAAGAATGCGACAGGTCAAGGTGTCTGAAGAATGAAAATAACTTTCATGGTAAAATAATAACACATAAACAAATATCATTAGAAGTTATGGTGGTATGTGGTAATTAAGGGTTTGAAAAAATTCACATATTCGGAAAAGACATTCTGATTGCATACACCGAAGAAGTAGCCTAGTGACGGTAGGGATTTAAATTTCCTTTCAATTCCAAATGTGATGGGATTGTGTTCGCTTATTTTCTGTACCAAACAAGGAAAAATAATTTAGCAGGACTAGTGTATTTAACAACATTAGAAGGATAATTATTGCCGGCGGTTGAAATGCCCAGTCCGAATGATTCTAGAATATTTAGTTATCTGAAACATTTTATTAAACATGTAGCAAACCTTTTTTATCCACTTAATTCAATAAACAATAGAAGCGATCGAATAAGCTTTTGTATGCATAAAAGTGCTGATGGGTGGTCACTTCTTACAGTTTCTTGGGCATTTATTATATCTGTACAGTGATACAGAGAAAAACATGTTTAAAAGATAATGCATACTGATATCACTGATTCGTTTGCAAAGTGATTTCAGATATTTTCGTTTCCTTACTAACAGTTCTATGCATTTTAGCCTCTATATTTGCAGGGTTCTTAATATGTAACAAGTATATGTCAAGAATTCTTGGTGATTTTTTTAAAATTGTACATTGAACAAACATCTGAAACAATCTAGAATACTCTGTAGAGCTATTGCTAAGGAAAACTAAACGATGCTTGGTTCTATTGAACAAACACTGAAGTTATTTTGTATGAATACCCATGAGAAATATATCTTTCTGTTAACAGCCTTTATTATTTACCTTGACCCAAATTATAAGAGTTATCTCCGTAAGCTGAGCACTTAGATTAATTTGATAACTGTATGCGTTGGTCTATTATATTTTATGTCTAATGAAGTTTCATTAGCTATGGGAATGTTTTTACAGGGTAAGGTTAATAGTTCTATTCTAACTTATCCTCTTTCCTCGTCCTAAGACAAGGAAACATACAAGTGACATCAAACACCACAGCCTTGAATGGGACACAGAGGAAAAACTAGTGGTCAGGTATATGAAGGTGACATCGATGAGATCATTTGAATAAGGAATGAAAGCTTCTGGACAATCGTTGGGACGGTTGAAATTGATAGTAGAGAACTGACTGGAATGAACATGAAATACTGAAACCTCATGTTCTACTCGGAACGCAAGGATCTATTAATAATGTGCTATCCTCATGGTTTACTAGTTTACCTAAAATATTTCCCATTAAACAGTTAAGAGATATTAGTGAATGATGTTAGTCAAAAGTTTACACATGTAAACTTTAAAAAATATTCATGAAAATTGGTTCAGGTATTACAGTTTTCACTGGTGTCCTCATAACTTCTCAGACTATTGTATTTAGTTAGTGAAAGTGTCATTAAGTTGATAATTTTGTGTAAATTTAGTTAGCTGCATCATATATTTCACCAGGAGCTAAAATTAACTGACATAACCGGTGTAAACCAAGGAACACTGAACAAACAGTGATCATGCACAGCCTTAGCAGAGTATAAGCCTGGAATTGTTCGATTACTACTAACCGATCATGTCACTGTCTAATCTGATTTCTGTGAGCCTGTAATATGGTATCAACACAACCACCATTCTGTGTTACAGACGAGTTCATGTCATTGTATCTGGTGTTGTTCACATTGCCAGTCACAGCTATTGCTCATAAGCCTGGGAAATCAATCTCAAGGTTAGCCATTGAAATTAATTTGCCTCAGACTGATTTCAAAGTTAATGCTGAATCTAAACCATCAGGCTTTTATTATGCTTTAAATTAGAGTATAGCAGAGTAGGTAATGATGCGTCACATTTGTAAAGTTAAATTATACAATGCTTATTTTGACTCTAAATACTGCATACTTTTAATATTTGCAGAATTAAGAAGAATATATTTAAAAAATAGTTATTGTTTAAATGCTTACTAAGAATAATAATATTAGCATTTTGAATAATTTACATTCAGTAGTATCTCATATTTTAGTATACATAAAATCACTTAATTAGAAAAGCAGAGGAAATTTCAACTCACTTGGAACTTTATCGTTCTTCCAAGCATCTTCGTCGTCATCACTGAAAGAATCCTCACTTTCATCGTCTCCATACAATGTACTGTCATCCTTTTCTGAATCACTTTGTTTGTCTGGATTTTCCCCAGTAGTATTTACTTTTTCTTTATTCGTTGGATTTGTACCACCTTTTAGCAGTTTCATAACCTGATTTGTATGCAACCATTGCAATACTTTCCGACGTAATACTCTGGCACATCTATTCGGCATTTGAATTTCAGCCTGTATATCAACATTTTTCATGTTATCTTCAGTGATACTTTGCTGAATATTTTCTGTTTCAGTGTTGTCTGTCATCTGAATTTGTGTTTTAGGCGAAATAAAAATATTCAAATATAAGTGGAAGTTAGTTGTAGTCACTCTTTGAAGGGAATTTTTTTTTAGAATTAATGAAATGTAGTAGATGATGTGACTAGTCATCGGCTTTTTGTCACGTGAAGATTTTAAATGTCATAGTAACCGTAGTAAACGTCTCCAGAACATATCTATTTACCCTGGACTTGATTAACGTTTCAATATCCTTTTATGAGACAATAATAAATATAACGGAGTAATCAATGCTATTTAGGTATAACGAGTACTCTGCTTTATGCTTTCTTCACAATTTTGAAGTGGGATGAGAAACTTTTGTTCTTTTTACACAGGATATCATATTTATATGGCAACGGTTCAGTGTACAATATTTCTCACAGAAAACAAGTCATTACTAATTCATTCATGTGACTTCACCTTGATTACTAATCATGATTTTCTATAAAAAATTCTTACTTAACCAATTACAAGGATTTTATTGTGACATCATGATATTGATTGGTGTATATTTCTGTGTCCTATAAACAAGTGAGTACTGTTCACCAATTTTACTTCAATGATTTATTTTTAATTGATGAAAATGATCAGTTAAACTGAGCGAATATTTACATATGCATATATCAGTGTTATTGTTATTTCCTATATATATTTGTCAGTGTTCTCATGTCTGTGATTTACGCTTAATCTTTTAGTAAGTTCAGTTTCCAGTTAACCGATAAGAGTTGGTTATACTAATAATTATTAACGAAAAGGAGACAGATATTCGAGGAAAGAATAATCAACTTTTTCACAATTTCTGTTACACGGATGCCTATTTTACGAGTGATGGGATGAGTTTGCCTTCATTTAGTTTTTTTTTTATAGTAATACACTTCTAATGGACAAATTATTACAGGGCGTAATCGTTACTTTGAACGAAAATAACTAGTTATCATTTCAAAAAAAAATGCTATTCACATGTTGAAAAAATGCAGCAGATTAGAGAGGAACTGTATACGCATTTCCAGAAGTAATAGATTGATTTGTTTGTCTTTATACTGCTTCCACCCACAATAAATAATGAAAATTAGAAAAAATATTAATAATAATTGTCTAGCAAACATTTCAGTGTTTATAAGAAAAATGTCGGATTGTCATTTGAAGAATCCTTATTCGCTCATTTATCAGTGAAGGAGAAAATGAGTTAAAGACAGTGCAGTCATTCAGATTCACTTCAGATTAATTTTGTTTCTTCGTTAGGGATTTCTATAATGCATAATATAAGCCTGGGTATTATTATTTGTATCGAAATATTTAGGATTGGATGTTTGATTGATTATAGTTATTCATACAATGGGAGTTGTTAAATATGGTTTCATTCGAAAAGTATCGATTTGTTTCTTTATCTCAATACAAACACTAATTCGATGGAGAGATGTACTTAATTAATAAAAACAGTGGAACAACAACCTAGATAATTACACTTTTATTAGAATGAATTTCTAGCAAGTGTATTCAGAAGAAAGACTTTGGAGTTCCAAATAATAGTAGTCTACATGATGTTGTGTAGTGAATTGTGACTGGTAGTGGAAGGAATCCAGGGTGCACATTTCATCCTGTTTGTGACTCATCATCTGAGTATCCCTGCATCTTCAGTAAGTGTTGACGTTCGAACTAAGATATGAAGCCAGTAGCTACCGTTTTAAAAGCCAGTGTTATCCAATAGGCCAATAAGTCACATCTTACGCGACAGGTATCAGTTATTGTTTGTTGTTTCGTTAGTTTGCGTTCTTCGTCGATTAATTATGTTAGTCCGAAATTTTGGCCTCTGCCTCCTTGATGAACATCACTACTCACTTGAGAGGCAGTTTATAAGTGCCAGATAGGACGAAATACGCATTTTTATTTCAACTGACAGTCGCCGCCAAACAGATGAAATCATTTCAAGCTTCAGATATCGTTAAAGCGTCCGTACCAGGAGGCGATATGTCAACCGAGACTGAACATTTTGATCCAACATAATCAATCATCGGGAAATGCTAATTAACTTAAACAAATAAGTCGTCTGCAAGTTTTGTCCTCCCTAAATTGGGAGATGGGAGTATTGATCTAACAGGTATTCGTATGTAGTATGGACAGGAACAAATTAGAAAGTAGAAGTGAATTCTGACTGTGCAGTACCTCATAATGAAAAGTACTGATTTAATCCACAGCTGATATATATATGCATATATTTGCGTCGCTGATGCAAATCCATTAATTTTTACAAAAAGTTGACTACTATAATCTGATTAACCTGTTGTGTTTTTTTAAAGTCACAACGAATTGCTTAATGTTCTAACCTATTAATTTCATCATATCATTAGGTACTACATAATAATCACTAAAATACATACATATAATTATGGAATAAGATTGATATCCAACTTGTCTAAACAATATTCAGTAAGGACAACAATCACAGTGCATGTAACTGTTTTTCATCAGTACATTCCCATTTCAAATTATGCATGAAACGGATTCCTTTCGGTGTAATACTTGAATAGCAATTTAGGCAAACAGCCTGCATGGATTTTTTTTTTGAAAATTATTCCAGAGGAACCTTTTTTCCTGCAATTTATGTCGCCTTTGCTGTTTATGTAATATTGCCTATAATTTATAGAGAATAAAAGTATGCAAATAATATCCTAAAAATCAGAAACTTTATTACGTGACTTCTTGTATTCGCGTCTTCTGTAGTTTTCCTAAGTAAACACGAATTCAAGACACTTATACCTTGGATGTTATTTTATTCTTACATGAAAGATTATCTCAATTCAATGAAGTGAGTGTAATACGGTGTATTTCAACGAACACAAAGAACGCTAAACGGTAAATGGATAGAAAAAATAATAATGAGTGTCAAAGTAAGAGTAATACAAAAAAGTCTGGAAAGCAACAGTGCCCAGTTATTTCAGTTTAATTTCTGCCTAGACATGTAAGCAGCCTTTATTTAATTACACACATAACTGGTGTCGATGGTTCACAGGTAGAATCCTCACTAATCGTTCATTTAGTTCAGAGTTTGATGAACAATCAGAGGAGGCGGAGGATAAGGTGAGTGACCCAACCTCGTAAAAAGAACCACCATTCCTATTGAAACTCTATAGCTCAAGCTTGAATTTCTATTTTCCACTGGGAAAGTATAGGAATGGAAAAAGAAACTTAATAAACACAGTTCTTAGTGCATTATATTGATTAGTGACATTACGCAAAAGCTGAGCAGTTACATACACCATTATACAAACTGGTATTCTTTAGTCTCTTCGGTAATCTGAGTGGTTACTACAGTAGTCTGTAATAAGATAAACAGTAGACAAAAGTTGACTATCTGCCTTAATCATTATCCCGACTATAATCTGAGTGGCTACCTTATATATAATTTACTTGGTGTTTTGCTAATTAATTTCTTTATAATTACTGTACGGCTGGACATTTAATAATGCTTGAATGCTTAAACTTCACCTTTACACTTTAAGTATGTAAAGAAAGGTGGTGTTATTAACTTTCTGTTCTGTTTAAAATGAGGAAAACGCTTTTTGTGGTCAAAAAAAAATTAATAAATAAAAATCACACTGAATTACCTTTTCATTTGTTTATCAATCAGAAGCGAAAGTTGAAAAGTATCATTTCATAGGGAGTTGCGGAAGTCAAAAGAGGCAATTTATTATTTAGCATTAGAAAAGTACTTTAACTCTTTTCTGATATGCATAAGTGAAGCAAGCAAGCACACAACACAATTCCACTAATATATATATATATATATATATATATATATATTAGTAAGGGTTATATAAATATCTGCATTAAGTATATACACTTCACTGTGGGACCATTTATTCAAGTTTATTCAAAAATATGTATTATATATGCTTCAGTGATATTATACACGTGTAGATGACTGGAAGAAGACTAAAAACCAAAAGAAGACAGAAGAAGATAATTTATGCAGTTTCTAGTGAATGATTTCGAATTTTGGCAGATTGACTGGACGGAAAATTAAAAAAAAAAGAAAAAAGAAGAAAAAGAAAGAAGGAGGAGGAGGATGAGGAGAAAGAGCAAATAAATAATACAACAACAAAAAATTAGGGTGATTTTTATTTTATTTTTTTATTTTTGGGATTTATTTGATTTATTGATTATGTTATTTGCTAAATCACCATTTCTCTTTTCATCACATTTCCCCTTCTGTTAATTTTCGTTCTCTCGTTTATATGTGTATCAGTGAATTCTGCGTTCAAGGTCATGTCTTTGATCATGCAAAAAATGAAATTTCAGAGAAATCTGCTAATCACAGTTAAAGAACTGACATGCCTTATATATATATATATATTTATTTATATAAATGAATTGAACTCATCTCTTGGTTTCTTTCTTTTCCCGCTACCAGACTGTTTTGTTATTGAAATACTTACTATACACTGAATAGTTTAATATGTTTCCTTTACGTGAAAATGTTTGAAATGAAAGTACTTTTGGTGGGAAACTCATATAATCCCTGTTTATTTTTGGGACAAGAAAAGCAAAACTCTTATGTCGTGAAAGTGACTGTAATTCCTGCAGCATATACTAGGTACACTTTAAGAATTCTGTATATTTATCTAGAAAATGATTGATCCTCTAAAATCTCCGCGAAAATCAATAAGTCATTCAGTGAAATTGTCAACAAATTTCAAGGACCTGTTATTTTCCTATGGAAATTATTGTTGAATAAATGTTGGTAGTTAACTGTATGTTCTTTCAAAAGAACAGTTCATTCTGACGAAATTCATGGTGATTATTTATACACTTATTGTAATTTACTTTTTTCGAAAATTTCATTCCTTTAAGTTCCTGACGGAACATAGAGCTTCAAGCTACAGCTTTGAATTTTCGGTAGCATTGGTGTCTACCTTAACAAGGTGGGGTGGCTAGCCTCATACCCAACTTCTTTACCAGTCTTATCATCGGCTTAGTGAGGTACAGGGGTGCGTTGGCCAGGGATAGAACTTTAGGTGACGTGGGTGCCTGGTGAGCATTCTGCCGCTAAGCCACCGACGCTAGTCTTCAGAAGAGATAAATATTCATCCCAGTTGACAGTGATCCTGGTAATCGGAATAGGTTAGATAAGATTGGAAAAAGTCCAAAAACACAAACCTAAAATAGCTAGACAAATGAAAGTTAAAATTTACGATAATACGACTACTGGGTACAAAAAATATCATAGATGAAACAAATTCTCGAGTTCTTAAAAATCATGAAGAAAAAGGAGGTTAAAAGAGTGACAAGTACTTTTGCTCTCCGGCAGTAGATAGCAATGCTTAGTTTTGACTTTTTTCTCTCAGTTCTGTGAAAAAATGTTGAATACATTTAGTTCTTCCGAAACTTAAACAAAGGATATTAGAGTGAATTTTAATTTCTTCTTTAAGATGCTGTTTGTAAGAATTGTACCCCCCCCTCCCTATGAATATTTGATACTCTGGTGAAGTAGATTTAAAGATAGACACCGTCGCAAACAGTTATAAAGTTAGACAATCACTGAATACCAAAAGAATTGCTAAAATGTATCGTTCTAGTTGGCTTTGATCCACTCTGCGATTCATCACTTCCGTGTGCTATAATCTATTTGTAATTACACTCTAAAATGTGTCTAAAATTCTGATATTTATAAGTCCCCATTATTCTACTCGTAATTTTTTTGTCTATCAACGGGCTGGAGACTGTTAACCGTAAATGCAGAACCTGGTAAGGCTTTTGTACACTTAATTCTTCGACTACCATATATATATATATATATATATTATATATATATATATATAAAGGTATTAATTTTGTTTAACTAAAGGAACACAGATAAACTTATTTCCTATGACCTTTAATTATATTCCATAAATATTTCATTATATTCGCTATAGCGAGAAGTGCTAAGGGTTTATCTTCTATGATAACATTACAAAATAATTGGAACAACTTAGTATGTGGTTTATTCATCAGGTAAATCGCTGGTTAATCTTACAATCATCAGTAAATCTATGGGGACAATCAGGTTAAGTTTCTTTCTCTTTTAAAATACAGCAAAAGACACTCAGATTTTATACACTGTTGAGATATGTTTAAAAAATCATTCAAAAGTGTGTATATATGTATGTATGCATATATATGATAACCACTTACAGAAAGTTTAGATTGATCTTGAATTTTCATTTGATTATTGAAGACACGCTCTTCAAAATCGTTGATGATTCTTTGGATAATTTCAATATCATCCTCTGTAAATGTGTCCGTCGATGATAAATCCTCTACATAATCAATGTTGTCACGCTTTAAAATAAAAGGTGAGCCATAAATTACAATACAGAATTATTTAGGTTATCAGTTTAAAGAATATATATGTATATTCCTTTACGCTCCGGACGGAACATAGAGCTTCAAGTATGAGCTCTGAAGTTTCGGTAGGACTAGTTTTATTTTTACGGGGTGGGATTCCTAGCTTCACGCCCAACCTTCTCTCTTTACCGGCCTTAGTACCGGCTTAGTGAGGCTTAGGAGTGCTTTGGCCGGAGACTGAACTCCAGACTGTACGGGTAGTTGGTGAGGATTTCACAGCTGTACCGCCGAGGGAGAAGTAAACAGACTGACAAAGCAAAACTGTTTTAAATCAAGTATGATTACGAGCCGATATCATGTACAGCGTAATGCTGAAGAGTCCCAAACTAGGATGAAACAGTTATCCAGTACTTCATGGTTTCCCACTGATTCTCTATTTGTAGTCAGCCAGTGATCAGCCTTGAATAGACCAAATCCCTACAAATTAACTCTTGCAAAATCTCATTTAATCAAGTAAAAACATAATATGAGAAATATGCATGTGATGTAAATCAAGAAAACCATAGGTCAGCAAAGAATATTCTATTCATAACTTTTTATTTAAACTCTACAGTTAAATAGTCTTCCAGAAGGTCAAGTAAATGTCAGTAAAGGTTAACTATCAACACCACATTAGTAAGAAAGTAAGAGAAAAAAAAGAAAATAGATAAATTGTGAAACTTGACTCAGTAGTCTTGCGTAATCTAGAAACAACAAGAGATGAATATCGCTCAGAAGAGACTGTCATCACATACCGAATTATTGTATAAGTAATCCATCTTCATTCATTTTTGTCTGTTTTTTTTCGAGCGTATTTTGAATGTCCGACTCTTATGAACAGTATACCTCTTTCCAAGTGCCAACAGTTTTAATGATAACCGTTTCTGACCTATATTCATCACCTGTTGTTTTCAGATTACATAATATTATTTAACCAGGTTTCGTAGACTGTGCATTTTTTCTTCCTGATATCATACTGTCTTATTATCAAGCGGTTAAAACCTTTATTTACATTGCCATGACCTTCAAGAATACTATTTAATTTAGTTTATTTACTGCCCTGCAACGCTTATGAGGTCAGATATACAGGTCAAAGTAGCGGGCTAGGGTTGACTAGATTAGAGGAGCAAAAAGCTTAGCGAAATGTAGATTAGTAGATTATCAATATCCAGAGTCAGATTGAATCATAATAAAATTACTTAAAATAATCCCAGCGTGTTTAAAAAAAATCAAAACAAGACTAGCAGATCTCAATAAGATAAGGAATGAAAAAAAAGCTCATCTACACGCAACCGTACAATAGGATGGGACAACGTGACAGTCGTAACAGGGTGGACAGGAGGCTGATAACTGAAACATTATTTGTCGAATCAACTGAGAATATTTGCAATAGGAATAATTTCACATATCCTGGACATCTGGAAAATTCCGCTACTCTTACAACAAATGGGATAGTAAAAACGAGAACTATAAAATTGTGTTTAAGTTGTTTATTTACGATTGGTGTAATTATGAACAGTAAATTTTGTTTGAAACATCATCCAGCAAATAGTACTGTCTGAATATGTGATATACCTAACGAACAAATTGATGTGGTACTACACACTACCACAATGTTCAAGTTTTGCAAAAATGTTTGTAGATAAATATAGGAGATAATTATACAAATAACTGCACTTATCAATAAACTATCCAGTGCGAAGTGTGCATTCCCTTTTTTTCTATGTAACCGTACTTCACTATTCCAGGTGTTACTTTCCTTGTATGCAAGAGCATTGCTTTGTAATATTTATGTTTGAAATGTAGTTGTATCGTTGATGTATCACACTCGTCAGGTTTATTAACATAAATTAAAAGATGGCGAACTGACTTCCCTAGATTGAGCATGGAACTATTAGCGGTTAGTAAGTGATTCCATTTCTGAGGTTTATGTCAATTTTGAAGTTTGTGATAGGTATTAAGATGACTTGGAGGTCATGTGAAGAGGAGATGAAAGCGTGTGGGCAGACTTGGAGCCAGGTGAAAACCCTTGCAGAGAATCGAACGCAATGGAGACGCGCGGCTGAAGTCCTATGTTCCCCTAGGAACTAAAGGAAACAGTAATAATATGCTAAAGACATCTTTATGTTAATATACTCAACTTGCTGTTTTCAAATCGTTCTAAACCTCCGGGTAGAGTTTCTCTACTGACATACATGTGTGAGAAGTAACACCAGTGAGTTCATACCAACGAGTTTATAAAGCCTCAACATGTGGTTAATAGGCTCATAGTTGTAATATGGAATTACAGATAACGCTTCAAAGAAATGCACTACCGTAGATACTGCTAACGTATTAACCCTGGAGTATTTTCACTCATAAATAAAAAAATATGTGAATACCACTCATTGAACTCACCAGATTTATTGTGTTCAGTCTTTGAACTTGCAAGTAAACTGGTGGCAGTACAGTTTTTAATAATTCAACTGACTTAACTGTGTCCAAACTTTTCAATTCTACTTGATTTACCTAAGCAGAATGAAACTGATTACAATAAGAATTAGCAAGTAAGATGTAAAGTTTAGCAAATGTAGTCGCCGCTTAATATTTATTTCCCGTGGGTCACTGAGACCACCTGTTTTGATTTCATCTGTTTTTGAATTTTACAACAACAACAAAAAAAAACAATGTCTTATATCTTCTTTCACATTCTAACTTAAATCTACACCTCCATTGATATTTCTTAGGATAATTCCAGATGTAGTAAAAAAAAGCCTGTTGTGACTGAGATAATATTTCACAATGTACACTCCTGTGGACAGTATTTTGTGGGTTCAGCTAACATGCGTTTTAAATAGATTAGGTGTATCCTAAAAAAATAATCTTCTTCAGTCCAGATGTTAAAATATCAGTCGTAGAAATGAGAATACAAGTGATGATGATGATGTGCATTTTAAATTTAGGCGTAGAATGTTTGTCTAACTGTTTCTGATGCTTCATACGTATATAAAATATGTACATAGTCGGTTACCATATAGCCTACAATTCAGTGAAACATCTTGCACAAAATCTTAGTGGATAGTAGGCTATTACTACAAGAACCTAGAAAAGCTAACAGACCACTATTTCTGTAGGATGCAAGAATTGGTCAACGATTCCAGATATTATTAAAACTGTTTAGATATCAGTACTCAGAAAACCAAAATTGAAAAAAAGTAGCTAAAGGTATTGTGTATTTACATGTCTTGAGGATTTTAAACAATGAGTTCTTCATTTATTGCTGTCATTATCGGTGATATTTAAAGATTGGGAACTGCACGCAGTTTTGTTGCCAAAAAAAAAACAACAACATCGAATTCTCATGACTGAGTTTTATGGTGGAAAACTTTCTGTTACTAAAAGGTAGTTCCTGTTATCACACAACTGCCTTCTATGCTGTGCAACATGATTCTTACAAGAAGAAAAATACACTCTGCGTAATGCAGGAATCGAATTTAGGTATGTGGTAATGCGTCAATCCTATTAAATATGTAAACTGTTGGTTCAATGAACAAAGATTTAGTGATTCAAATCTTTTTTTTAACCTTACTAAACTGTGTTACATTTTCTTACTCAGTCTCAGCCTACTGTGTTACTGTGTGCAGATGCGTCCCTAGCGATGTCTGAGTTTCTTTTTAGGCTACCTATCTTGATACAGTTAAAAATTATGGATTGAAAAAAATTATGTGCTCTGATAATCTAACTGACATCAGTTTTTCGCTTTGACCTATACATTTGACTTTACAATCATTGTATAGTATACGGTAAATTATGCTGTCTAATTAAGTCAGTAATACCCTAAGCCGATAAAGTTTGTCCCCAAGTTTGTAGGTTGCAATCCCATCCTAATTCCAGTCATATTAGTAGTGGTAGTTGAGTATTCGGAGTTTGTTTCTGATGAGTACTACCATGAAGACTTTAAATTTTGCTGGAAACGTCATGTGGTTTGAAGTGATTCGGCTCTCTGAGGTGAGTCGAGCTAGATACACCTCTGCCTCAAACCACCGGGGACGGGGTCGTTCAGTGTTTAGACCAATTCGGTCCGGCTAACAAGCACTACTGGTTGATACAAATGGTATGCAACTATTCATTTCAGTCAGTGAGCAGTGAGTGGTTTTACTCATGTAAGCTTGCTTTCTTGATTTCTGTTTATGATTTCCAAAGGGAACTGTAGTGCAATTTCACCTCATCGAACCGTGTGAATGGCAAGTTGCTGATTAATCTGCAATTTGCGAATTTGACTTAAAGACGTCATGTAGTTCCCAATACCAATACTTCATATAAACTTATCTAATACTTAACTATGCGTTCCGCCCTGAGACATTTTTAATAATTTCTGGTTTGTAATTTATGTCTTTCAGTTAAGAATCCCCTCATTTGTTGTTTCCAGACTCCCAATACCACTGTTAAGTCAATAATCCCATATGGGGCGCGTCAAGAAAATCATTTCCAACAGGTTGCAAACTTTTGTCAGTAGCTGCATTCGCTAGCTCCATACTAAAGACCAGGTGGCCAGAAAAATTTGGCAACGAAAAACTCTGTGAACGAACCAACCACGAACCTACTGATCAGCACTTATGCAAAAGGAAATGGAGGTGGATAGGGAACACTTTGAGGAGACCGTTGGGAGACATTGCCCACCAGGCCTTTGGTGGAGCCAGAATAGTAAGCGTCGAGTCGGATGTAAGTTCTGAGTAAGACATGGAGGAGGTCGTATGACGAGATCTTGCAGGCAATTGTGGGGCCAGCTAAAGAAGACTGCAGAGAACAGAACAAAGTAGAGACGTAATGCTGAAGCCCTATGTTCCGTTCGGGACCCAAAGGTATAATAATAGTAACGATAAAATCAAACACACATACTGATAAAATACGATCTCCAACTTGTAGTTGACTGGTATCATAATGAGAGATGCCACTGATAAATAATAACCCATCTTCCTTTTGGCCAAATAAGCTGGGTAAACCTGAAAAGTTAGTAAACAAATAGTTATGTTTAGGATATTTTAACATTCCAAATTAAATTTTGCTTGACAAGACAAATGTGAAAGGAAGTGACATTAAAATATTTCACCTAATAGTGTTTGAAAATCAAAACATACCAACTGTATTTCGAACCCTGGATTAACTTTTATTATTTACTTGGACATTCCAATGTCAACCGTTCGCTATTCCCAATAGTTAATAAAATCTAAAGGAATTTTGCTGCATAAATCATATAAACTGAATATCTTGAATAGTTCCCAACTTTCAATGACAATTTAAAAGAATAGTAATAACAAGAAAACTGATTAGCTAGGTTCATATTAAGTGTACAACTAACCTTTCAAAGTGAGAACAACGTTAAAATTGGGCTAAAGAGGCTTTGCACTAACTAGCTTTGCTAATAACTTTGTATTTACTAAAATAACCATATTTAATTTTCAAGAATTAATAATAATAATATAATAATAATTTTTCCTTCACGTTCCCAGCGGAACATAGGGCTTCAAGCTAGTGACTTGAAGTTTCTGTAGCAGTGTTTAATTTTACAGGATGGGGTTGCTAGCCCCATGCCCAACCTTTCCTCTTCACCAGCTTTACTTCTGGCTGAGTGAGGTAAAGGAGTGCGCCGGCCGGGGATCGAACCCCGGATCATAAGCATGGTCGGCGAGCATCCTAACCGCTGCGCCACCGACGCACAATTTTCAAGAATTAGTTGGTGGGAAATCTATTTGTTTCAGGTCGCACCACGGATTGATATCAGTTAGAGAAACATTGAAAACTACGCAGTACTGAACAACTGTTTCACCCCAGTTTGGCATTCATCGACAGTACTCACCCATTAACAGGGTTTGAACCCAGGACATTCCGGTTACAAGGCAAGCTCGTATAGTATTCAATCACTGGGACTCGATTCAATAGCCTGTCCATAAATTCTTACTTCTATCAATTCGTGATTTTAGCACGACTACCAGCCAATGTTATTGACGGGAAATCCATCCTCACTCCCGACTGGATGGAACCCACTGGTCACGACTTCTCACTAGAACTCTAGGCAAACTCATCTTGTAGCCAGTAACTAGCAAACGTCAGATTAATTTTCAAGCAGTAGTTTGTACAGATTCTATTTGTTTTATATTTAGATACGAGATAAATGTAAATAGAATGCATTTCCACTACCTAAAAATTAACTGTCTTTAGCACTTAAAATAATTCACAAAAATTGTCACAGGAAACAGTGTAAGTATTGGTTCTCATTGAAAGGGATTTAATCTGCTGAGAGCTAAAAAATGTAGCTAACACTTCAGTAATTCGACCAGATATCTGATTTTTTCCACCGAACGTATACTTAAGTGTTAATGAACACCAAACGGAATATTAGGTGACATAAGTGTTGGTATTCGAAGTGAATATTTAACTTCAAAATGAATGACTCCATTAATTACATTAGCCAGTGAAAGAATTAATATGTGAAAAAGAAAGAATATAAAGATAACTATATCTATTCATAATGCTGAACTGCATTTATTTTAAATTACCTATCAACAGATTTCAATTGAATGTAATGCTTGGGTCTTTGTTGACATTTCGGCCTCAACCATGTATTGAGATTAATGTGATGTTATTTGTTTGATGGTTGCTAACAGTAAGCTCCAGTCAAATGATATCAGTCAACGGTAAATGTAGAATAATTTCAGCAAATAACAACGGACACTTGTCGCACAAGTGCTAGCTATCATGAATGAAGTTTTGATATACGAAATGCTAATTACAGGATATAACTCTCAGTGAGAATACCACTGTTAACTTGGGATGCTGACTAGCTAAAGGGTCCCACTTACAATGAGACACTCTTTCTGGACTTCATTGTCATTCACCACCAATCTAACAATATCCCGGTTTTTTGTTGGGCGTAGATCAGCTGGTGAATGTATCAGTTGAAATATTGACAGTAGCGAAAGTAAAGCTTATTTCCATGTTACATTGGTGTGTTAATATTTTATGAAGAGTGAAACAAATTTCGGTAAGTTTAGCACTAAATAAGTATGCTGGGACAGAACTTAAGATAATTCATCTTTCCCTTTTTCATATCCATGTTACAAGTTAGTTTGTGCCACTATATGGGGCACCTGGTATCAATGCAGTCATGACATTTGCATGGTTAAAGTCGGGTAATTGAGGAATATTGTTTTTTAACCACACAGGTTATGAAGAATAATTTTAATGTAATGGTGCAAGAATTGTATCGCTGAGACTTTAAAAGACTGAACAAGTTATATTATAGTACACATTCAAACTACTTGCTAGAACATTTGTTTAGAGCCGTTTCGAAACAAAGTGAACACATGTGAATTGTTCCTCTGAGAATCACTCCCCTTAGGCTTTACCAAAGAAAACTGAATCAGATTACTTGATTAGGATGATGCAAAAAGAAAATTCATGGTAACCTTTGAATGCGGTATTAGAACTATGCTTCCTCTAATTCAAACAGTTTTTCACACAACGAACTTTCAAGTTGCATCGTGGATTATATGCCATAAGACGATATACCACTGACAAGATGTCTTCGGAATTTGTCTTGTAACTTCATTTTAATCTTCTGTAAACCAAGTGGAGCATAAAACTTCAGACTTGAACTTTGAAGTGTCAGCAGCAGTAATGTTATTCTGTTTTACGGGGTAACGTCACCAGCTTCACGCCCAACCTTCCCTCTTTACCGGGTTATTACTGGCTAAGTTAGGCTAAGCAGTGTGTCAGTGGGGGTTCGAACCTGGGCCAGGTGCATCGTTAGTAAGCATTCTACCACTGAATTATCAACGCACATGGATAACTGTTTCGTCCTAGATTGGGACTCTTCATCGGTAATCACATAGCGGGATTCGAGCCCACGACCTCATGGCTACAAGGCGAGCTCATAGGTTATCCAGCTACTGGGCCCCTTTCCTCGGCAGTCCTTATGATTTTCACATACAGGGAGACTTCACAATTTACTGGAAGTCTAAGGCTCGGTGACTGTAAGAACTTGCGAATTCAATTTTCAAAATTTTGAAATGAGTCTGATATTAGTGGGCTGTCTAGTGTTTTTACAATCAACAGCTTTCAAAGCTATACGGTGAAAATCACTGCCAACAGGAAATCTAATATATTTACAGATTAAAATTGATTCAGACAACAAGAAATGTTTGAACACATCTCGTTATTGTGAATTTCGGTGGATGGTTTAATAAAATTTTCAGAAAAACCAAAAGGAATAACTACTATAGTTTAAATTCGGTTAGTGTTAAATCAGCAGGTACAAATACCTTACAATGTTTACATAGAAAAATAAATATTAAACGAAAGCTCACATGACACTGAAAATCCCAGCATCTGATAAGTATTTCTCTGCACGCATACAACGAATGGTTCCGACCAGACAGGTAAATATTTCTTTTCTTCTATCTCTATATAAATATTTTCGGTTGAATGACTATCACTAGATTCACTATTACTTTCTACATCCATTTCACTATTCGACTGGGTTTCCTTAAATTTAAATGAACAATGTTTAGGTTCATTTGAACATTTGTTTTTGTTTAATGATAAGTCCGATTTAATCTTTTTATACTTCCAGTCATTCTTTGGTTGAGAAACATCTTTAGACAGATTGTCTTTGTTTCTTACAGTCTTGATTATATCAGTGCTTGAAAAGGAACAACGTAGAATGCCTAAGTTTGGTAGAGAACTTGCGGTTTGAAGAATAGGAGAAGGATCATGTGATGATTCCTCAGGATTCCACAGATGAAGTATTTTGTTAATTGGTCTTAACTGTAATTTCCCACTTGTCCAAGGAGGTTCACTGTATTCCGACAAACCCGCAGAAATAATATTGGCATGAGACCTACGAGTTTTATTACAGAAATTTTCGTCAAAACGTCGGATAGTCTTTCTGAAATTCACTGGTTTATTGTCTGGAAGCAATACTGCATTAGCTGGTGGTAAGTTTTCGTGAAGAAAAGTGAATTTGATCCTTCTAATAAATATCCCGTAACAGGTCTAGATAAGGAAGGAAATAATATTCATGGTTTCATTTGTATGTAAGCAACAGTTAAATAGCATCTGAATTTACAAATTTATGATCAAAATACCCCTTCAACGTGTTTTATTCCTAATAGCAAAAGGTAGTATATAATAAATCCAATTTGAATGAATAGCACTGTAGAAGAACGGTTCAAATATGAGTTTTTGTGATACAGTGCACAGCTAAGCAGTGAGGTCTAGTATATAAGTCAAACTAGTATGTCTCTGCTTATCTTGTGATAACAAAGACATTTAACCTATTGTAGATTTGTATATGTCAAAACAGTGGGAAACCTGAAAAACAGCTATTATGACGCAGAATTGCAAACTAGGATGATATGGGACAGCTGTTCTGAAGAGTTTTATGCTCAGATGGAGGGAAAAACTGACCAACAGCGTTTGCAGAATAAAATGGTACTACCATTTATTTCGTTGACTTCTCATCAGCTGCTTACAATCCGAATACATCCTTGAGTTTATCTACAGAAACAATTTTAGCATACTTGCACAGGGTTCACTTTTAAACAACGAATCAATATAAGCATAAAATGCTAATAATAATAAAATCTTTTTCCCAAACAATAATAATCACACAAAATGGAAACTTTTAGCGTTAAGTAAACAGACAGAAGAGAGGATGAAAACATCCAGCTACCAGGGAAAGGAAGGACTGATAACCGCTTCTTTCTGAACGTATAAATCGGGTTTTAGGCGCTTGATGGAGATTGCTTTGGTAAACTTAAGACGAACTGAACTATCTACTGACTGATAATTTTGAACGACCTTGTGACGTCCACCTCATGATCTGTATCAAGGAGATGCCTGGTGATGGCACTGTTTAAAGCACTTTCTCCTTCTAGACATAGTGTTTTTGGTACATATTTAGAAAATCGGAGGTATATTAGTCTTTCCTTCTACTGGTAACTGGATGTTCTCACCCTCTCTTTCATCTGATTACGTTACGCCAAAAATATTTCATTGTGTACGGATATTATTGTTTCGGATAAAATGATTATTATTGTTAGCATTTTATGCTTATATTGATTCTTTGTTTAAAATGAACTCTGTGCAATTATGTTAAAGTCATTTCTGTACATAAACTTGATAGTGTCTTTGGACAGTAAGCAGATGATGAGAAGTGAATTAAATAAATGTTGGTACCATTTGATTCTATAAAAAACTGTTGTTCTTGCTTTATTCAAATTCATTAAGGGAATAAATGTATGAAAAACTGATCGTTAAACTTGTCTTCACCGAATTAACACTTCAGTGTGAATGTGAGAGATATTACCTGTCAGAGTGAATGCGGAACAGTGTTAATATATATTTTTTTAATATTTTTTATTTTATTTTAATTTTTTGATTACAGCTTCATTCCACACTGTATTTTTGGTACAAGTATGGAATTTTTAGCCTACGGTATCGGTAGCCCAAATTTTACAGGCCGACCATAGATATCAGGTGTACGTCGGTAGGGGATCGAACCTCGGACCATGTTTATGGTCGGCGAGAGTCCTAACTACTGTGCCACCGAGGAACAAAGGAAATAAATTATATATCGCAAGAACTGGCTATGAAGAATAAATTTTTGTCTGTGAATAAAACTTCATTAACTAAATTAATCTGTTATAGATATGGATTCTGCCACACCATCCAACCCTTCTGTTCCCTACCTCCAAATCCACTCGTTGAAAACCAGGTAATACTGAAAAGCTGTTTCGTTCTACCTTGGGAATCATCGACAGTACGCACCCACTGGGCTCGTAGACCATTTAGCCACTGGGACATGAATTAATGGCCCATGAATTCTAACTTCTACCAGTTCATGATTTTAACACGACCACTAAATGATATGAATTCACAGTCAAACTTGAAACAAATCAAATGCCTACAAACTGCTTTGATTAACAGTCACTATCTGCTGAGACTAGGAGAAATTTGTCTGTTTTCTTTCTTTTATCAGTGCTTAATTTCTTAAAGAATCACTAAATTCACTTAGTGTACTTAAAGATATGTGACATCATTTCTACACTCAACTTCCCGATTTCTGATGTTGCCACAGTCTAATTTATGTTTTTATCGTTCTATTCTTTCGAAATATTCATTAAATAGTGAAACGTCAGTAAAAACAATATCGTCCATTGTTTCTCATTCATTGGGAATTACAAAAAAACCTTTATGATAATGAATATCTGTGATTCATATTCCTTATTTCAGATAATTTTGCTTACACACTAATTTTTTTATCTACCCGCTGACATACCCTCTCTCTGCTTACACTCATTTTTACACCTTTGATATTTAATACAATCTTTTTTCTCAAGAAAGAGTGGTTCTACATAGCTCCAATTACATGTATGTGATCCTGGCAACATTTGAAATGTATTAAGTGATAGTGAAATGTGAGACATAATCGGTCAAAGTTTTGAAATAGGCAAGTAAATTGTTTGTGTAATATCTAGTTTGTGATTATAGTACTGCCAGATATGATTCAGAACCGATTATACAAAGCTAAGTTTTAAATATTTATGAATACTTTTATTAGGTACTTTTTTGTAATAGTGGTTAAGGCAAAATTAGTTCTGTGAGAAGATTTTGTGGTTGAGCCCAGATTTTATTTCCTTAAAACTGCCTTTTTAAAATTTTATTTCACTAACTACAAGTTGTTGATGGGATTCTATTTCAGTAATGAATATGAATGTTGGCAACGACAAAAATCAAGCTGGCAAACTGTTACGTCGACTTCATTTTCTTCTGAATTTTCCGTGAGCTTTGAAGTGATTAAAATGTCTTGTATATCAGAAAACCAGAAGTAATCTATTTTGAAAAACAGGTTAACATGTGACGAATAGACATACGTGCATAATTACAGGACATTCAGAGACAGTTACGAATAACCAAGAAATACTGGACAGCTGTTTCTTCATTGTTTGAGGCTCTTCGGGCAGTACTCACCCACCCCCGGAGTTCGGACCCAGGACCTCCAGGTTACAAGGTGAGCTCTTAGGTCATCCATCCATTGGGATCCGATCCAGTGGTGCTAGGTTCGAGTTTCGGTGGGTGCGTACTGTTGAAGCGTCTCAAACTAGGACAAAACAGTTGTCCAGTACTCACTGGTTTTCTATTTGGCCTCAAACTAATTTTAGCTTGTAATAAGTTCGTTAACCAATCAAATCTCTGTAATTCAACACTTGATAACTATGAATACTGTTAGCGCAAGAAAATGAATCTGTTTGCATTATCTAGAGAACCTGGTTTGTGTTGTACGTTATTTTTCACTTGGAGTGATTATTGGCAGATTTGTATTTCCTTTGGTAATTCATAACTACTCACTAGTTACTGCATTTTATCTACAGTAAGGTGAAGTATTGTACCAGAAATGAAATCAAAAATGTTTTTACTCCTAAGTTCCTCTTCGGTGGCATTTTTTGTATATATATATATGGATGATCAAAGTCTGTGTGGGTATAAAAGATATGGAAGCTCAAACAGAAAATTTCATTAACTAAAATAAAATAGATAGCCTTCTATCACTTCTACATGAGCACTGGAAACTCATGAGTTAAAATCACCTGCACGACAAAAAAGTATTCAAATTTTGTGTCATATAAAATTCAAACCAAAGTTTGAAAAAGATTCGTCATTTGGGAATTAATCATTTCCACGTCAGAAGTCAGTACAGTTTCTTTTGTAAACCAAAAGTAGGCAGTTGAGCATATGTCATCCTCTTGATATCATTAATGCAAATCAAGAAAGCAAGCGATATGACATGATGGTATTATCGATCAGGATGGCTAGTTGCTAAATGCTCACATTAGACAATAGTCCTTGCAAGACAGATCGAAGTTATCTTAGCACTGGATAACCATTTGGAGCCAACCTCATAAGCATTGCAATCAAATGTTCCGATAATCCCCTCATGAGATTCTTACAGGTATCTGTGTTTATGTCTCCGTTATATGCATCTCTTCCAGTACATATCTCACAAGCTTGTTTTATAAATGATATAACTAAGGATGCATTTCAGTTCAGTTTTTTAGAGTTCTCCATAGTTTTCCATTCAATTAAGGTGTATTTAATTTTCAAGTATTGGTTTTATAAGGATTTTGTTTGACTGTTTGGATGATTTCATCATTAGCTGACATCAGTCAGAAAACCATTGGAAAACTTGGGAGTACTGAACAGCTGTTTCGCCATAATTTGGTACTCTTCAACAGTACACACTGACACCACAGGGGTCGAACCCAGGAGCCTCTGGTTACAAAGGTAGTGAGCTCGTAGATAACCATTAAGCCAGTAAGACCCGATCCAACAGCCAGCCCATGAAATTTAATTTCTACCAATTCATGACATAGCGCAACCACTTCGTTCTTCCTGATGAAGAGTCCCAGACTAGGACGGAACAGCTGTCTGACAGTACTCCGAGGTTTTCCAATGGTCCTCCATTTGATGTCAGATCATGATGAAATCCTCCAACTAAAGTGTATTCAGTTTTAAAATGGCCTCACTGAATTTGTAAGTGGTATTTACTTTTCTCTTGGGGCATGACACACCTGCTTTTTGCCAGAGAACTTATGATATCATGAAACAAACTACTAAAGTAAACAGTAAATTTCAAACTGAACCTAAAGTTGGTTCATATATATATAATGTTTGATGAAAACTATTAAAAAGGATTCAACGACTATAAAACTGAGCTGATTTTCTCCTGTACATTTTCATAGTGTGTTACGCTGATTATTGATTGTATTTAAATTTTATCTATTAAAAGATGTTTTACCTGGCACAACTCTGTGTTTTACCCCTACTAAGGAAAGCTGTTCAAAATGATAACACTTTGTCGTCTGTGTATTCACCGCCTAGAAGACTTAATGAGGAAAAGTTGTACTGTTAATTGGTGGATTGTGACCAGCAGTGGAATCTAGGATGCTCATTTCATCTTATTTGGGACTCGTCAGCTGGATGTATCTGCATTC